ACAATTTACCGCTCAATAAAATGTAACAAAGAGCGCTACTAACCGCGCGACAAACATCGACCACCGTTGTCCTCCTGCTACCCCTTTGACTCTGCCGGTCAACCATCCAACCCTCTTTCGTGCTATCGCATCCCCATTTCATACGGTATACGCGCCATACGTCCCACGATGCACGGTTTTTTTGTTGCTAATCACCATATATGTACGAGGAAAATACGAAACTTAATTGCCACCCGGTATGCTCTATGTGCCTCCTTCGCGCACTGCTCGCCCAACGTGTATCGGAATTGAGAACCTCCACATTGCCTGGCTAGGCACGATAGCGAGACACTTTGTGGATTTCTGGCGTTGTGGGCTATAGGCATCTGCCAGTGGTTATGGCTACGTAGGGTCGACTAGAGCGCCCCGCGCGGTTATTACAGTTGACAGCCACCCTTATGGTCAATCCGGACACGGCAATGGATGTCGTTAACCAAATTCATTACCGTGACGTATGCTTTGTCTCTGTTCGAACTCTAGCCACAAACAATAAAAGAAGCCGCGGGAACTTTATAGAAACTATCTGAGAACTCTCCATTTCCGTCGGACCTAAAAAATTTTTCACGCAGCGCAACAGGAAGTGGTTAATACCCAAGCCCTGTATTAAAAAAACTGCTTGATTGATACTTTATCGGATTATTCGAAACCGCCGTTAACCCCATGTATCACCTCCCAGTGACATCTACCGGCGGACGCCTTAAACTATACGAATCGACCCACCCGATAAAACCATTCGTAATCACACAGGTAGCACATGTCGATTGCGTATCAATATAGGATTAATGACGTTCCTAGAGAATAAGCCGGGATCATTTCCTGTGCCATAAAATAGGACAATCAAACCAGAAACCACAGAGCATCGGACAAAGCGATTGGCCGTAAATGCTTGCACTGCCATCTGCATTATCGAACGGGAACGAAGGGGGAGGATATACTGTGGAAGGGTCGCCGCTACCGTCCACGTGATGTATCTTTGAAGTGGGTTAGATGGGGGGGAGTCAATGAAGGAAAGGGTTGAAAATGAATTTACGTGATTGGTCATCCCTCTTTCGTATCGACGAACACGGGACTCGCGCGACATGTGCGTTTAATAGTGCATCGGGAAATTAATGTCAACGCTAGCGGTTCCGATCGTTTCCGAAAAGACTAATAAATAATAGGTACCGTTATGCTTTACGATCCTCTACTGTCAGCCCCGAACGCTCTCTGTTTTACCATCAGATTAGACACGGCGCCCCTTTCGTGTTACATTGAAAACTTGCCCAGCCGCGATTCCCTTGCACTCGTTTTTCCACGTCACTTTGACGACGATTGCGTCGACCATTCCAGTCGAGTTTACGAGCTGACGGGCTTCTCGTGCTTCTGGTTTATGCAGTCGTATCGGATTGGGGGATAATGGCCGACTTCACCCTGTCGGTAACTTATTCAATGACAATCTAATAGGGTTGCCGGAATAATTTTTTTTTCCACGTTATTTCAGCGGATTACGTTACATTATACGCTTCCTGGTGTACACGAAGCTTTCGGAATCCGCCGTTCGCGGCGCCACTTGTTTCTCTTTGTTCGTTAATCGTGCGAGAACAAAGGAAAGAGCCGTGACGTTACTTAGGCGATTGGTACATCAAAGAGGACCTGCTGTTGTATCTCGGTGGGTTCCTGCGGGAGGATGAAGTTGATGTCACTAAATTAAGTAAGGATCCCTTGTGTCTTTTTTTCCAACGAGTCATCGAAACCTCAGGGACGCAAGTGGAACCGTTATGTTGGGATCGTCTTTGAAAAAGCGCAGGAGCCTGTAACAACGTTCTCTCTCGATTAGATCAACATTAAAATTGATCGATTAGCAGGCGATAGCCGGTAATTAAAATTTATTTGTTCTCCCGCCTTCGATTTTCTTAGAAGCAACGACGTTTTTTTTAAAGCGTCAATCATTGCTGCAGCCCTGAGTCAGAGGTATCGGGTCCCGAATAAGGCCCCATTAGCGGATACGGTATATACAGTTCGTCCGCATAAGGCTCTATCTATGTCACGGGAATGACGATGCGCCATGTACAGGGTGGCTCAATTGACCCAAAGATTGACCTCCCCTACGCCGACTCGGCTCCGTCCACTTAAATGCGCCAATCTCGAATCTATTGCTTCTTGTTCGTGGCCGAGTTCAGCGCCGTTGGCTTATCGACGGGAAGATATCGAACTATCTGGGGATAGGATCGACCGTATTCAATTGGCTGGTTTCACCTAACCTAACCTATAAGGCTAATTCGCCATTGTCCTAGGGAATTCCAGCACGGGGCACGTGACCGTTTAACGTTTCCAGACGAGAGAAAGGAGAGTAGTAGTGGCAGCTTAATCATTTCTATAAAGATTTCCAGATACCACTACGCAGACACGTACAAGATGGCGGTGTGGTTTTATTTTCGAAAAAAAAAAAAATTACATAATTCACAACTCAATTATTAATCAGATTGACTTACGTTTAATTAATTTTTTTTTGCCTTCCCCCCCGGTATAATAATATCCCAGCATTTCTATCCCAGCCTCCGTAAAGGTCATCGATTGGTCATCATCCAGTCGATAGTCATTGACCGAATGGATCTCCAATCTCGGATCTACGATCTAACTCCCTTAATGGACCAAGTGTAGAGGCAGTTTGTCGGGATAGAAGATTAATCCGGTAGCCAGTTTTTATCTAGGCCACCGAACGGGCAATTAGCGCGAGACTCGAAAGACCAAATGGATTTAACTGGAAGAAATTCGGGCGAATACACAAACGATATTCGGTTCCCACATGAAGATTTTTTCAAAATTTATAACGATTTATCGAAAAAATTTAATTTGTCTAAATTTTTTTTTTTTCCTAAAAGAATGTCAATTTTTCATCCGTTTAAGTGGATACTTCTCCGGTCCCATATAAAAGGACACCCTGTATATTATATACGGACATGTTCACGTAATCCTGGCACAGGGCAGATACCTTAGCACGATAGCGCATCGGCTATGTTAACTACGGCTTGCAAAACAAATATCAAGTAGCCAGCACGTATTTATCTTACTTACCGATCAGCTTCGTGATCACGAAGTCCTCTGATCGATATTATACGCTTGTTGGTTATGGATCGGCTTCTTTCGATCGGTACCAGGACTCGTCTCCAGTTCGATTCCTGGAGACCGAGTCCTTACGGCGCTGCTGGTGCACAGGGGACGCTACTCTCTCTCTCTCTCTCTCTCTCTCTCTCTCTCTCTCTCTCTCTCTCTCTGTCTGGAGACGCTAGTGTGTTCTGAAAAACGATGATCCAGATCCACGATGCATCCAGGCAACCATAAGCAGTCCTGCCAATCTTTGACCAGAGAATGGTCGAGAGCCAAATACAAACGCAGCACGAAACTCAAATGTCAAATAGAGCCCCAGCTGTAGCATCCGGTGAATCGAAGCCAGGCCAATTACAGGTTGAGGTTGTCCAAGCGTTTCTAGTATAATTCAAACAGTATAGGGGTGGAAGGGTTAAATTGACTGTTGTGATAGGGGATGCTCGTTCCCCGCTTCCTGGATAAATGATGAGACCAGGCAAAATGGCTTTATGCATTATAGCCCACGAGCATTACCCGTTCACGTGCCGTTTGTTTAAGGCGCAGCCATTTTCTGATACTAAGTAATGTCGGATGACGTCACGCTATTACGATTACCTCAGTTATTCTTATGGGGGAGCATTTTTTATTTCTTTTACTGGCCGTTGGTCGCACCTTCGTTACGGCTTTGGCGTCTGTCGAAGGTTTAAGAAAAATAGTGAATTCAAATGGGTCTGATTACGTATTGAAATGGAACGTGGTTGTTGGCTATTTCGGGTGAATTATCCATAAAGAGTCCTGGCCGGTTGTAAATGTGTAGATCCGAATGGGGATGGGACGTGTTAGAGAGAGAGAGAGAGAGAGAGAGAGAGAGAGAGAGAGAGAGAGAGAGAGAGAGAGTGAGTGATTACGAATCCCGTTGGTAACGGATGACGGCACGCAACGCTATTCACTTCGTTGGAGATTATATCGCGTATAAATTTACTCCCAATAACCAATAAATATGCCGCATTAATGAGCCGCGTAATAAACAAGGGCTACGGTCTCTGTGTACGTGCCAGAGCACGGGCACGAGCTATATCAGTATGTATATCCCGGATAAACTGCATTATTAAAAGCCCGTGAATCATTTGGTGCTCTCCCCGTGAAATAGCCGGGGAGCGGCTACCCCGTGAAAACCAATCCGGTTCTACGATCGGTTTTAATGGATCGGGTCGCGCGCACGCGAGTCAGCCATTAAGCGGAACCGAACTCGCACGAAACGAAAGCCGAAGGCAAATAGGGGGGCCAGGTCAGTCGTGCCTGTATCGTAACAATCAAAAGTGAAATAATAAAGTGTGTAGCTGAGAAACCAAATTATTTTTTGGTACTATACCGAAATTTTTTTTTGTAAATATTGCACAGAAAGTGTTACTGGAAGTCGATCGGTGAGATTTTTTTGGTTGATGATTTTTTGAAAATTTTGAAAATTCATTGGGGCACCTACGGCGCGTATATTAATACGCACTCGTGATTCACATGGGTCGAATCGAAACGCTGCGAGGATTACGGGCGGATATTTATGAGATAATGGGGATTGCTGCTCGTGAGCCGGCCAGGCCCTCCAATATGAGAATGTCAAACGGGGCGTCTCGTGAATTTATTAGGCGCTGAACAAACCTCGACAAATCACGCGGCCCACTGTTTGCCATTTACATGATGTATGTCAGGTTACTACTCGGCTCGATACCGGTTAATGGGGTCCCGGTTGCGCATACCGATTCACATCCATCCACGTCACTGCGGGCAATGGCCATTTTCTAATGGCAAACTCTACGTAGATTCGGTCGGACTTGGCACTGTGCGATATGACGTTGCGACCCAACCTAACCCTGTGCCTTTTCTTGCTCCTGTTCCAGGTGAAGATCTGGTTCCAGAATCGGCGAACAAAGTGGAAGAAGCAGGACAACATCAGCAACGCCGAGGCGGCCGAGCACAAGAACCAAAACAACCCGAAAGCGGCTCAGCCGAAGTCCAAGCAGCAGCCCGGCGGCGTGAAGGGTCAATCGAGGTCAGCTGTGGATTGCAGTTCGGATTCGAACAATTCGCTCTTGACTGCCGACGGGTCTGTCTCCGAGAGCAACGCATCCGAACAGGGTAACATATCGAGTCTGACCCTGGCGCCACCGGCGTCGGACAGGACCTCCTCGACGAGTCATCATCCGACGCTCGGCGTCCTCCCGGTCGATCGAAGCGTCCCGACGAACCTCACGTCGCTCACGTCGCTCACGTCCGACAGATCGAGTCTCTCGGGTCACGCCTTGCAGAAGCGCACCACTGTTTTATCACCGGAGCCTTCGTACATATCCAGGGGCTACGAGGGTGTCCTGGCTGAGCCTCTCCTGCGGGACTTTGACTTCAAGATGACCTCGAGGGACTTTGTCCTGGGGAAGATGGAGTCCAGGCTTCAGGTGTCCAGGGACCCTGGTAAGGATGGTTTACGGAAGAAAACTTCCTTATCGGCCGAGATCGACAAGAACCTCAAGGAGCTCAACCTGGACTCGGAGGTCAAGAGACTCGAGCCTGACTCCGAGCACCTCGGCTTCGCCGTGGCTCCGGCCATGACCACCATCAGGTCGTCCGACGGCGAACCCATGGAAAGCAACGACAGGGACTTCGAGGAGCCTGCGTCGCCCCAATCGGCGCTTCAGATCGACGAGAGGGACGACGTCGTCAGTCCGGAATTGTCTAGCTAACTAACGCCTTACTGAAATCTCATCTCGACGGGACAATCCGCGAGCTTTTCCGATCTTTCGGGTTCTTCAGGGTAGCGACTCGTCATTGGTTCGCGATGACGACGACGACGACGATCATGATTTATTGACGATAGTCATGATCTCGGGAACGATCGCAATTTTCGTTGGGACTTTTTTTTAATTTTTTTTTTTTTTAATAAATTTCTATGGCTAGTGTAGTTCCGGAAGTTACCGGCGTTGACACTTTTCCAGATGCTGTGTTTTTATCGGCGAACTTTTGTTTTTCTTCTTCAGTTGGTCTCCAACGAATTTTTATTTTACTTTCAGATTGCGTCGTGCAATTTTCTTGGGTCTTTTGCAATATATATTAGAGATTGGTGTATATACATATATATATAAATATATAAATATAATTATACAATTGTAGTAAATTGTACAGTCGCGACTAACAATTTCTTTTTTCTTTTTTTCACTAGTACTAATGCAGTACGTTTTATAATTGTGCTTCGTTTCCGATGCCACTCTGAGCCCTTTGTCGGGTTTTCGAAGAGAAAGAAAAAAATACAAAAATACAAAAATATAGTATTATACAGGCCATTGAAATTTTCCTTCGTCTTTATCCGTATTCGATTTCGGTGAACGATCACTTGTTTTTTGCCAATGGCGAAGCACCGGTCTGTTTGCGGTCGTGCCCGAGAAACAATGTACTTTTGCTACATGTGCCATAAGTTTTACGAGGTTTTGCGAGTTACGTTTGTTATACTCTTCTTTCCTCTGTTCTACGTACGAGAGATGTCAAACACACGAAATACAATCGAGACAACCGAATATTTTGAATACGCGAAGGAACAAAAGAAAAACGAATTATACAAGCATTAACTGTTCAGTCTTATAAGTGAAGCCTCTGGTGTAAAGTTAAAAAATGAAAAAATTACCCAAAAATTTTTATCAATAACAAAATTTGTTAAACGTCTCGAACAAACCTCACTTAGAAACATACCTTTGTATCAAAGGTTTTGGTATGCCGGGGTCACGATGTGACGTGACCCCCGTTTATCTTTTGCTTCCATGTAAAATTGTATTTTCTCGTTCTAAAGAAATTCGCCGAACGACAAACCCAGTGCGATATTCGCGCAAGCGAAAACAATTATAGTAAAAAGAGAGAGGTCGGATACATTCGCGACATTCTGTATAAAAATTTGTCTGACCATTTTTGTAAATATGCGATGATTACCGGAAGGAATATGTAAAACCGAAACCGAAGGAAAAGGACCCGTTCGCCGACGACCCTGACGATAACGCCAGGTCATAGGTCATGTATGTAGGCACGTGCGAAAAAGAGAAACATGGTGATGTGAGGCGATCGTGTGAAAATAAAAACGAAAAATACGAGTTGGATACGTGACGGGGAGGATAAAAGATAAAAGGGACGAGAAGGAAAATGGTTATATCGTTAAGAACAAGTGCAATTTATACTTTAGCGTGTGCAGGCGCATGCGGCCGCCATCTGAGGAAATCATCATTGAACATGATACATACACGAGCGTATACTATATATTATATGTATATAACGTGTATATATAATCTATGTGTGAATATGGGTCATTTCATGACGAATTTCTTTGTACGTTTAAATTTCGTAATTTTTTAAATTTCAAAAATCCGGATTTGGTGACAATGTGAAAAACTGTCAGATTGGTAACAACGATGTTGATAGGGTTTAAGGGTAAAATTTGTTAAAGGAAAAAAACAAAAACAAAATTTCCAAATGAATCCATCGGATGGCACAATGCTCTCTTGTAATTTCGTTCACGGAATGTCCCATATAAATATACGACGCTATCAAGTGATAACAGAAGTAGCATGTAGGTAATAAGATGCTTTGATCAATGTATTTTTTAATTGATATTTAATAAAATATTATGTATAGGGTAACAGACGTGTACGCGAGTTGTTCCGTTATGGCGTCTGTAGTTGTTACAAGGATGCTGTCGATATTCTCACAGGAAAGCATCGCGCGAGATAGAAATGAAATAACTCGTTCACTTTATTAAGATCTATTAGAATTATTGAAAAACATTTTTATTTAATTTTACTCCCTTTTGTTATCACTGCACAAAACTTCATAGGTGAATGACGTCATAACGGAGCTGATAAAATCGTTAATACAAAAAACGGGGAGAAGAAGAAAATATGGAAAAACGTGGAAATTACTTGATTGACTAATTAACCGGCGACGAGACGCGTTGTACATGAATATATATACATATATACATAAATATATATATATTTTTCCTTCTTCACTGTGACTTCCATATGATTCGACTTCTACTTGTTAACAGGCCGACTCAATGTATTTATTAAAGACAATATTTAGCATCTATCCGGTGTCCAATAAAATAACAGACTCCCAAAGGCGCTGTGCCGCTGTAAGCAGTCGCGTACCATGTATAATCCAGTGATTATGTTAGTTCAAACCTCTTCTCTCTATTCTCTGTGACAAACACGCCACATCCCTTACGTACACAAGCCGTGCGTGCACTCACCCATCCGACATCTAATGCAAAGAATTTATGTGTTGATTTAAGAAAGAAATAAATACGTCAAAGAGTTACAAAAGACTTATTTTCTCTCTGTTCACTTATTACCAAATTCGTGCCGTAGTATCCTCAGAGTGAAAAGTGAACGTATGCCGTGAGCGTCGGTCAAGTCGGTCGAGTCTATCGAGGCCACCAGGTTGGTAAAACTTCAGGGACTGTCGAAGAGATGGCGCCACGTACTGCTGGACGATGCTGCCCTCTTCAGCAACCTGCTACCGTAAGTTGAAACCTGAAATAGCTACAGTAGAAAACCGAAGTCCAAAATGTTAACCGGAGAGTATTTTATTCTAAACAGCAGAGATAAGTAAGGAGATTGCAAGTGGGCTGAATTTTGTAGAGACCAGTTTTATTTCGGCGTCGGAGCGTTACCTAGCGAGTGGGAGTAGCCGCGGAGTAGAGGGGAGCGCATTTTCAACTTTCTTCTTCTTCTATATTTATTTCTTCTTTAATTCCTTATTTCCTTATCTTTTATTCTTCACTTTCTTATTTATCTCTTTCTTCATTTCTTCTCCACTTTTATATTCCACCTAGATCGCATAAACGAAAAATCTTGCAGTTTTCGTAATAAAAGTATCCTGTTCCGTTTAATTCTTTTGCAAGTCTTTCTTTTGTAACATTCTCATGTGATATCAGTCGACAAAAGAAAATTTAAACCTGATATCTATTCTACATTTATTCCCATGCTGCATTCCTTCTGCCCTCAATCAAATCA